TTTATGTTTACGACCGAGCAATCAAAATATTTCACATAAATGAATTAAATACACATTTGTACGGAAAAACATAATATTATTATATTCACTAAAAAATTAGAACGTTGGGATAGCAACTGATATATTATTACAGTAGCGTCAATTCTTTAGTCAATAAATCGCTGAATTAAATATTCTTTAATAATTTAATAATAATAATATTTTGCTAATGATTCATTCGAATTCCCAGAGCATAATCCTAATCGAAACGGTGTTATTTGAAAACTAAAAACTACATTCTTATTCAACAGTTATTGTTGTATGTAATAATTACGTCTATGAAATATATGTTTTTTTTCAGCACGACCTGACTGATATCCGAGCTGAATTTATTGCCACTAGGAAATAGGAAAAAAACGGAATTTAAAAAAAATAATTGAATATTTATTTGTGACACTCCAGATTTTGTTTCGGTTTTTTGTTTTTTGTTTTGCATAGAGTTGATTTCTCTTGAGACTTGATTTTTAAAATAGAATACTTGAATCAAAATTATTAAAATATTGATGAAACAGAGTTTTTAATATTCTTTTGCAAATAATTGCGATTACGAAGATGAAAAATTGTAACCATATAATATTATGCTCATGCATTTACGAATAGGAAGGTATACTTATCATGTTTGTTTAGTAAATACAAATATTTGTTCAAAATGCTATAAAAGSTTCAAAAGTTATAAGAAGTGACAACATTTATCATACATATTTTAAAAATTATAATAATTCCATAATCAGGGTTTCAATAGTTCACGTGATACTTTGATTACATTGTTTGCACATTTATTATCCGCCTGATAATTTCATTATCAAAAACTTTTTTCATACAAAACTATATCAAACCAGGTCATTATTACTAATTATAGGTTTAAACAAAAAGTTTTAGTTACTTAAAGAACTACCTATATTATGTTGTATAATACGGGACATATATTTTCTCAAAAATGATCCAAACATAATTGATTTGAAAACAATTTAATTTATTGATTTGTATATATTAAAAATATAAATTAACTTAACTCAATATGTGTTATTTTTCTTTAACTACTATATTTTATTATAGAGATGAATTATTAAAAACTATCAGTATTTTAAAAACATTTATACAAGCCTGAATGGAATGGAGTATTGCATTATTATGACTTTTTCTCGAAAATTACTTTTTGATAATAGCTATTCAAGTGGTCAAAATGTATTATTTTGTAATTTTGAATAGTATTTTAATTTAACCATAAAAACAATTGTAATTTTCCAGGTAATTCAAAAAAATTTTAAATATTGAGTCTAGCCCCCCGTTTCAACGCCGTTTATAGTATTCTATAGTTAATAGTTATTTAAGTTCACTTGATATATGTTACTTAATACCTAAATTCACATACTTATTAAGAATTTAACATATATATAGTTAAACAAAATTTTACGAAAAGTATTCATAAAATATAGTTGAAGTTCATACTATCAATTTTATCCAATGGTAAATTTTATAACTTTTTTAAATAAAAATTATTTTCAAAATTATTTATCTCATATTTATGATATTAAAGAACTTTATTTCGTTGGATAACTTTCACACCATATCACTAAAAATAGTATAAGTTAATTAAAACAAATTTTTGTTGGATGTTATTTGGAAAAATAAAATATTTTTAGTTATTCCTTAATCCTTAGTCTTCTCTCTTTAAAATATAACCATTCTTTCATCCTAAGATTCAATTTCTACTATTAATTATAATATTATATTTTAAATTTATTTTAGATCTTTCTTTTTCCTCTAAATTAATTTCAAGTTTGTGCAGCGCTAGGGGAATAAATTTCATATTATACCTTTACTTGTGTAATTCTACTAAAAGGATTGCGTGATGATGTTGACTGTCAGAATAAAAATAGGTCAAATAGTATGAAAAATTCGACAAAAAAGTCGACAAAACATGGTTATACTATTATTACTACTGTTCGTTGAAATAAAAATATTTATGACTAATATATTATATATATAGATACAATCATATGTTATGTTTATAAAATAGTATATCGTATTTAACATAAAAAAATTAATACCTACAGGATCAGCTAACAAAATGAAAATAAAATAATTTATTCTCAAACTATATTTTTGTTGATAGAAATTCACTAATTCTTATAGGTATTATTGTGTTTTATTCGCTTATTAAAATGTGAATGAACTGCATAATCTAAAAGGAAGACGATACTATCACGACTATGTTTAAAATGATTTTGTATAAAAGCAACAGGTTTGATTATTTAATTACTATTTTCAGTGAAATTTCACAAATCCAAATATAAATAACAACTATGAATAATTAATACTATATCATATCATAAAGGCATGTTTTCCTATCATTTTCGTGCTCCAATTAAACTATATTTTGTATTGCAAATTTTAATTAGTTAATTAGTAATTAATCGTGTAATTCAATTATTGTTTATTTCATCGAGTGCACCATTGAGAATTACTCAAATGTAATCGTAAGTACTCTTTCGTAATTATTTATTCACATTATAGACACTTCAATATGCTTTATTAGGTATGAATAAAATACGAACTATT